AGCTCCCGGCAAAGCCAGCGGCCCGCACCATGTCTGACGCGCAGTGAGGCGCGGGGCGGTGGGCACAGGCGCACGTGGGGCTCATTCCAGTGAGTAATTCCACGTGAGCTCCTCCCGCACCATCCACACAGCCACCCGCTCCCCGCCACGCACAGCGCTCGCCGGCTCCCGGGGCCCCGTGCAGACATCTCTCACCCACGGTTCCCGTCCCAGTGTAATTTGCTACCAGGTTTGGGCGGCGCCCAGAGGTACAATGTTGAGCTGTTACAAAAGGTTTCAGGAGTAGTTATGACGGACCCATCCACAATAGCCACAGCAGCTGATTTGTGGAGAGACCGCCTCACCAGGCCCCTTACAGAGTCACAGCTTTAGCCTGGCCGGTGCTGCTCAGTGGGGAGAGGACTGGCCCACAAGCCCAGTGGCTGCAGGTTCAACTCCCAGTCAAGGGCATGTACCTGGGTGGCAGGTGCGACCCCCAGCCCCGGTCGGTCGTGTGTGGGAGGCAGCCAATGGATGTGTCTCTCTCACATCGATGTTTCTCTGTCTTTCCCTCCCTTTTCCACTCTCTCTAAAAATCAATGGAAAAATATCCTCGAGTGAGGATTAACAACAACAAAAAAATCAGTGTGTCTGGCTGTTTTCTACACTCGGGGAGCATCTTCCTGGCTTGTTTCCACCTCCCAGCCCTGATGGGACTGGCTGCTCTGCAGGTGAGCAGTGTGCAAGCAGGTGATGGGTGTGTAAGCAGGTGATGGGTGTGTAAGCAGGTGAGCGGTGTGTAAGCAGGTGATCAGTGTGTAAGCAGGTGATGGGTGTGTAAGCAGGTGAGCAGTGTGTAAGCAGGTGATCAGTGTGTAAGCAGGTGATGGGTGTGTAAGCAGGTGAGCAGTGTGTAAGCAGGTGATCAGTGTGTAAGCAGGTGATGGGTGTGTAAGCAGGTGAGCAGTGTGTAAGCAGGTGATCAGTGTGTAAGCAGGTGATGGGTGTGTAAGCAGGTGAGCAGTGTGTAAGCAGGTGATCAGTGTGTAAGCAGGTGAGCGGTGTGTAAGCAGGTAATGAGTGTGTAAGCAGGTGATGGGTGTGTAAACAGGTGATGAGTGTGTAAGCAGGTGAGCAGTGTATAAGCAGGTGATCAGTGTGTAAGCAGGTGATGGGTGTGTAAGCAGGTGAGGAGTGTGTAAGCAGGTGATCAGTGTGTAAGCAGATGATGAGTGTGTAAGCAGGTGAGCGGTGTGTAAGCAGGTAATGAGTGTGTAAGCAGGTGATGGGTGTATAAGCAGGTGATCGGTGTGTAAGCAGGTGAGGAGTGTGTAAGCAGGTGATCAGTGTGTAAGCAGATGATGAGTGTGTAAGCAGGTGAGCGGTGTGTAAGCAGGTAATGAGTGTGTAAGCAGGTGATGGGTGTATAAGCAGGTGATCGGTGTGTAAGCAGGTGAGGAGTGTGTAAGCAGGTGATCAGTGTGTAAGCAGATGATGAGTGTGTAAGCAGGTGAGCGGTGTGTAAGCAGGTAATGAGTGTGTAAGCAGGTGATGGGTGTATAAGCAGGTGATCGGTGTGTAAGCAGGTGAGGAGTGTGTAAGCAGGTGATCAGTGTGTAAGCAGATGATGAGTGTGTAAGCAGGTGAGCGGTGTGTAAGCAGGTAATGAGTGTGTAAGCAGGTGATGGGTGTATAAGCAGGTGATCGGTGTGTAAGCAGGTGAGGAGTGTGTAAGCAGGTGATCAGTGTGTAAGCAGATGATGAGTGTGTAAGCAGGTGAGCGGTGTGTAAGCAGGTAATGAGTGTGTAAGCAGGTGATGGGTGTATAAGCAGGTGATCGGTGTGTAAGCAGGTGAGGAGTGTGTAAGCAGGTGATCAGTGTGTAAGCAGATGATGAGTGTGTAAGCAGGTGAGCGGTGTGTAAGCAGGTAATGAGTGTGTAAGCAGGTGATGGGTGTATAAGCAGGTGATCGGTGTGTAAGCAGGTGAGGAGTGTGTAAGCAGGTGATCAGTGTGTAAGCAGATGATGAGTGTGTAAGCAGGTGAGCGGTGTGTAAGCAGGTAATGAGTGTGTAAGCAGGTGATGGGTGTATAAGCAGGTGATCGGTGTGTAAGCAGGTGAGGAGTGTGTAAGCAGGTGATCAGTGTGTAAGCAGATGATGAGTGTGTAAGCAGGTGAGCGGTGTGTAAGCAGGTAATGAGTGTGTAAGCAGGTGATGGGTGTATAAGCAGGTGATCGGTGTGTAAGCAGGTGAGGAGTGTGTAAGCAGGTGATCAGTGTGTAAGCAGATGATGAGTGTGTAAGCAGGTGAGCGGTGTGTAAGCAGGTAATGAGTGTGTAAGCAGGTGATGGGTGTATAAGCAGGTGATCGGTGTGTAAGCAGGTGAGGAGTGTGTAAGCAGGTGATCAGTGTGTAAGCAGATGATGAGTGTGTAAGCAGGTGAGCGGTGTGTAAGCAGGTAATGAGTGTGTAAGCAGGTGATGGGTGTATAAGCAGGTGATCGGTGTGTAAGCAGGTGAGGAGTGTGCAAGCAGGTGAGCGGTGTATAAGCAGGTAAGCGGTAACCGTCTGCAGGACAGAGGGGAGCATGGGCGGGAGGCCCCGGGGAGCCGCGTGGTTTGAGCGCAGGGCGGGGCCGTCCCTACCATATGATCAGGCCGTAGTTTTGAAACACGACCTTCCGGAATGTGCAGGAGGCTGCGAGGGGAAGGGTGGAGGCAGGAGACACGGGTGGGAGGCAATTTAGAAATCCCGGAGGGTTGAGTTTGGGTGGTGCCGAGAGATGTTTAAGGAGAGATGATGGGGGCGGGGGCGGGGGCAGGAGCCAGGCCTCAGCATCCCAGGGCTGAGCCCAGGAGCAGAGATGGGCGGGGCCTTTCCTGGAAAGGGGTCCCTCCCGAGGGGAGCCAGTGGGGACCCCGGGGAGGGTGGGATTTGGACATTTCAAGCTCTGAGTGCGAGTGGGGCTGGGGAGAGCTGAGACGTGACCTTGCAGTCCTCAGGGCGGAGACCTGGGCTCCCACAGCCGTGTGCACAGGCTGGCAGAATGCATGTCTCCAGGGGAAGAGGAAGGAAGGACAGCGGTCAGAACCTTGGCCAGAATGGCGCGGCCCCCGAGGCCCCTGGTACCAGATGTCTGGGTAGGAGCCGAGCAAGAGGACAAGCAGGATTGGGGACCGTCTCTCCCTCCAGGAGCTCCTGTGCTGGCCGGGGCCTGGGAGGGTGGGAGTGTGGCCTTTATGGATGAATCAGGTCATGGGGACTCGGGGGTTTGTGCCCAGAACTGGACGTCTGTCTCATTACAAACCACAGCAGCTCACCCCTCTCCCATCAGCGTGGGGTCTGTGTGTTGATGCTCATGAGATGCCCGTGGGCTTGGTGCTCACCAGCGGGGGGAGGGCCACGAAGCACGAGAGCAAATGAGAGACCAGAGTGTGGGGGAACCATGGACATTCCACGGGGGCGGACTAA